GAGAAAAGTAACATTTGTAAAATGATCAAATTGAATGTTCCCTCAACGTTACCATATAACCAAGAAAACAATGTTTTTGAAACATTTAAAAAACTGGACATTTTGATCGTTCAGAGAACATTCAGAAATAATGTTTTCACAACGCGGACTTCCCTATAGACAGAGTATAGAAGACCTATATCAGTATAAGCTCTTTGCTATAGACCAGTTTCAGTGTTTGCAAACAGTGATGATGTTTTTTGTGGGCGGAGTCTATCTGGAGGCAGAAAATTACCGTTTTATAGTAGCAGTCTACGGAAGCCATGGAATAAAAACGGTAATTTTGAGTTTATAGTTCAAAATTCTGACTTTTTTCTCGCAATTCCGAGATTATATTTCACAATTCTAATAAGAAAAATCAACTCGTCATTCTCTCTTTTCCCCTCGGCTCAGAATCACGAGTTTATAATCCCACACTTCTGGCTTTTTTTCCCTCAGAATGGACAAACTCGCAACTGTTGAGTTAAATTGAGTTATAAAGTCCGAACTAGGAGATTTAAACTTGCATTTGCGAGAAAAAAAAGTCAGAATGGTGAGATAAAATTGGTAAATGTTATAGGTTTAAATAGTAGTCTACGTGAATATTATGCAGACCTAAATCAAATTTATGCTTTAAAAGTAGTGTAATCATAGCAGGTCTCATCCATAGTCTGTCCGTTTAAACGTCTGCGTTTAGCTTCAAGTGGCGTCTTTGACGACAGTATTCTATAAAAATGATTTGCATTCCGATTCTGACATTCAAAGGCACAACAATACATTTTTTCTCTTGTTCCATGGATTTTCCCCATTTCCCTCCACTTGCTCCCAGTGCTTTTCTGCCACCAAAATGCGCAGCTGCAAGTGACGTAACGGTGACGTCTACTCCAAACTGGTCTATTCTCTTTGAATTAGAACGAGTACTAAATCTTTATATATTTATTATAAGCACGCCACAGTTTTGTCATCTGCTGCTTTAAATGCTCGAGCTCTTGGATTCTGATTGGCTGTCAGTGTTTTTACCGTTCATTCGCTGAACGCTCTCTCAAAGTTATGAACAAACCTTCATCCAGTAACGCTAATAGAACATTTGTTCTATTCTATTTTAACTGAAATTTAAAAATGGTAGCACAAAAACACTATTTATACACAATTCATAGAAGTTTTTTTTTAGTTGCACGTTCATCCGACATTTTTTAAAGTTGCTACTTGTTTCAGAATTAGTAACGTTCCCATAATGTTTACAGAACGATAAAGTGGAATGCTCCCTTAACTTTCGCAGAACCAAGAAAAAACTATTTAAAAAACATTTTAAACTGTAAGAACATTCAGAAATAATGTTTTCATAACTTAATGGGAGCGTCAGCAAAACGTTTTGTTTGTTAGCTGGGTGTCGTTATCGTTATAGTTGTAGTGTGGACTTCCCTATTCTCTTTGAATTAGAAGGATTATTAAAACTTCGTAGTTGTTATAGTTATTGTCTTTGAACAGGCTTTAGCTCATGAATAAGCAATGGATCAATAAATGAGTGGATTGAACATCTTGAACATGTGAATCCAGTTCCAGCGGGAAGAGTTACGAGGACTTCCCAAAAACATCTGTAAAGCAATATATGAAGCAAAAAAGAAAGGAGAATATCTGGGATCTTCATTCTTGTGAGGAATTCATCAGCAGTCATTTCAGCGAATAAGACATTAATGATACTTGCTAAGATTTAGTGCGTACGAATTATTTAAAGCAACCAAACGGAAGCTTTTCCAGAGGTTCATGACACTGTTTTTGAGGCTGAAATAGCAGATGTGAATTTAAAAGCACTAAACTTTATTCGTTTAGAGTATTTTTTATTTTCTGTGATTGCTTTACGAGTCGGACCTCGTGCACTGGCTGTAGTGGTGAACACTGTATCTGTTTAAAGACCCGACAGGATGAAAATATGTATTTTTGCCTACTGTACAATTTGGTTTTCTTGGTGTTCCCCCTTTAAAGTCTCATATTTTTCTACATTGGTTTGAAGTGAAACTCCGAACTTAGAGCGCAGATGTGCAACTGCATGACCTCGATGAAAACAAAACATTGCAGATATGCGAGAATTGATGTCATGTGAACATTTTTGCTGTCTCGATTTTTTGCATAATGTTTCAGAGTGAAATTGTAGTAGACGACGTAGGGCGAAACATCCAGCCAGCCAAATGAACTGTTCGTTTTGTTGTCGTGTTTGTGCGCTGCTGCTGTTGTTAATTTCTCAATGAGATCAAGAACTACCTGATTGAAACACCTCACTTCTGTCAGATACTGAAAGCGATTGTTTTCAGGAGAGGTTGATGGGAATCTTGCGGAGAAGTTTGCCATTGAACTAGGCATTGGAGACGAGCAGAAGGGTACAGATGTGTTTGGTTTTATGCTACACGTCTGCATGAGCTTCAACATGAGTATGTTCTGAGAAGAAAAGGTTAGCAATAGTCGAATCACCCTCTTTGCATCAAAAGAGGCTCATTGGATCAGAAATATCCTGTTCTTACACATCGTAGACACAAACTACACATACTGGCCGTCAGACGCCTTCAGCAGTGCGTAACCTTATGTCAGGAACAAATGAAAAGAAGCCGTTTGGATTCTGGTGAGGGTTTTGAGTTCATTATCTGTGGGAGGGCTTTCAGTCATCAAAGCAAACTGAAACTTGTCTCAAATCTGTCTTCCTGTAAGTTCAGATTTATTCAGAAATAAATCTTGACTGAAATGTGCACGTGTTTGTTTTTGTAGGTTTGAATTACTGCTTTTTAATCTTTAAATTCAGACTTTTTTCTCTATCAGAATTCTGAGTTTACATCTCACAATTCAGACTTTTTTTTCTCTTGGAATTCTGAGTTTACATCTCGCAATTCTCACCCTTTTCTCGGAATTCCAGGTTTATAGTATCACAATTCTGACTTTTTTATCTCTTGGAATTCTGAGTTTATATTTCACAATTCTGAATTTTTTTCCTCAGGATTATAGGTTTTTCTCGGAATTCCAGGTTTATAGTATCTCCCAATTCTGACTTTTTTCTCTCGGAATTCTGAGGTTACATCTTGCAAGTGACTTTTTTCCCTCACGATTCCGAGTTTATATTTCACAATTCAGACCCCCCCCCCTCAGGATTCAAGATTTTTCTTGAAATTCCAGGTTTATAGTATCTCCCAATTCTGACTTTTTTCTCTTGGAATTCTGAGTTTACTTCTCGCAAGTCTGACTTTTTTCCTCATATTTCCGAGTTTATATTTCACAATTCTGACTTTTTTTCTTGGCATTTTAAGCTTACATTTCACAATGCCAAGTTTGCATCTTGAAATATTGACTTTTTCTCTCGGAATTCTGAGTTAAATTTCACCATTCAGAATTTTTGTCCTCAGGATTCTGTTTTTTTTTCTTGGAATCCCCAGTTTGCATCACACAATTTTTATTTATTTTTTCTCGGAATTCTGATGTTTTTTTTTTTTGGAATTACGAGTTTAAATTTCACAATGCAGAGTTTGCATCTTGAAATTTTGACTTTTTTCCCTCGGAATTCTGGGTTTTTTCTTGGAATTCCCAGTTTGCATCTCGCAATTTTGACTTTTTTTTTTTTTTCTGTATTCTGAGTTTAAATTTAACAGTTATGACTTTTTTCCTCGGAAGTCCGTGGCAGAAATAAGCTTTGTTAAATGTTATGTAGTTATGGGTAAAAAAAAATAAATAAAATTTCCTAGCCATATTAATCATAAAACTATGCGCAAACACAAATGAGTGTGAGACCGACGGCAAAGTAAAAGAAGCCAGTTTATTACGCTGACCAACTGGGTTAAGTCAGTTCAGGATAAATACATTTTGGGTAAGAATGTCAACAACAACGCAAAAGAACCCTGCTCAACCCTGAGATTAAGATCTGAAAAGATGGAACATTTGGAAAAAAAACAATGCAATCAAAAACGGAATTTGGTATGATGCTAAAACGTGACAATTCATTGAAGTTAAGCAAAAAAAAAATCGAATGTATTCATTCAGGATTCAGTCCTGAACAAAAGTATGGCACACAACAGGAGTACATTAACACAAGACACGAGCAACATCCCATGAACCAACCTCTCAACACAAGCTGCCAAACTACATCAGGCTGCATTTGGCACAGATTCCAGATTCATCTTGAACTTCGGACAAAAATATTGACACATAAATAGTCTGTACACATAACGTGCTGCACATCTACCGAACGAGTCTCAAAATCCCGATCTCTTTCATCAAACATAAAACAAGTGCATCCTGGGTAAAAGCCATGAATAAACGGATAGTGATTTGTCTCAGCGAGGCAGCAACAAACGAATAAAACCAGTTTTAGAAAAGAATTACATGTTAACAAATTGCATCAAAACAGTTCACAACTGTTGAAAGGAAATCCTTCAAGGGCCCCTGAAGTTACAAACCCAAAAGATGCCACGAGTATGTTACAGGTCATTTCTGATGATATGTCCTCACTAATGCAGGCTTATCGTTTACACTAGATATAGATTACGCAGAGCATGTAAGTGCATAGAACTATAAGAAAATCCACTGGCTGTGGTTCAAATGAAGATATCTGATATACTGCAACACTAATATTCAGCATTTAATTACAATAAACGTTTGCATTCTGTGAATTATACAATTAATGTAATTGAAAACGAACATTAAATACTTCACGTTCACAATGTGGGTACACGTCCTCCGCGTGAAGAAACGCACATGAACTCTGAAGCCAACAGACTAATCTCCGACAAAAAGAAATCATCACACGTTCCCGTCATAAATGCTCGCTATCTCGTTTTCCTTCACTTCAACTAAACATTTTTTCATGACTAGATGCCAACTGAATATTAAGTGATGATTATAAACACGCATTTACATTCTGACAAGCAGTATATTTAAAATTCAGATGATAAAATAAATTTTCTTCATAAATTAAGACAAAATGAACAAAAAAAATTGATTTTGGAGATAAGCCTTTGCTTACAAAAAACATAAATATGACACATACTTAATAAAATCATATTGGTAAATAAGACGCTGTGAGGATTGGTCTTCTGCTTCGAGCCCCTTAAATGCACAATTCCCTGACGTTCCCCACATTCAACCTCGCAAAATGACTCTGTCTTTAGTGCGAGTCTCACAAAGTGCCGTTTGTGTGATAGTGACGATGTTATGAGCAGTGCAGCAGCACAATTATTAAGGTGTTTGGGTGTTGTCTGAAGCTCCTGCGGTCGGCGCGCACAGAAACACTGGAGTTAGAGATCAGCCGCACTCTATGAGGACAGACAGAGAGATTTACAGTCAGATACTGGATTTACTGTATTTACTGTATATCTGAAACGTGCTGCGACTTAATGCCATTCACATCCAGCGTGCAAAACGTGCTGAAAGCCACACATTTGCAATGGAAAGCAAGATCTCCATTACTTTTTAATTTGTTTTACATGAAAATGGATTGAATAAGCTCTGCTCTCGAGCACTAGAATATGAAAATAACTATTACTGTAAATTCTGATCACACGGCAAAATAACGTTCTTTCTTCCGTCTTGTTTTTCAGTGCAAATGTCTAAAGATTCTTAAATCAAGATACATTTACTTGAGACACAAAATTACACGAGATATGATACGAAAAGACAAGTCGTTTTCTGAGAAATGCAACAAAATGAAGAGAGTTTATGATTATAACAACAATAACAAATATCTGCCAATGGAGTCAGAAAAATCAACTTCATTCAAAGGAAAAATAAGATCATTTTTCCTCACCCTATTGGCTGATATTTGTTCTTGTTTTAATCATAACTTTCATAAGACTTCATATATTCATTTTGCATCTCCAGTAAATGTATCCTGATTTAAGGATATTACATTTTTATTTTTACTAAAAGACTAAAATACTGAGCATGACATTCATGTTTTTCAACATTTAATGATTTAAGACCATTTTAAGGCCATGATCTGTGGAAGGATGAATTAAGACTTTTTAAAACCCCACATAAAAGCAAAGCATGAATTAATTTATTTAAAGCAAAACTTGTGGCATATGGGCAACGCACTGCACAAATAAACTTGTTCTGGAACTGTTACATTTAAAGCAATTGTTATAGAGTGACTCAAACTAAAATCCATGTTTATAATGTTTATAAAACAACGTGACTTACATGTTTTTTTCTTTCTCTCAACAATGCAATTTTAACTCTTTCCCAGCCAGTGTTTTTTTTTTTTTTAAGTTGTCAGTCACTGTCTGCATTTTTGATAATTTTCACAAAAGGTTCATGGCCCCCAGAATATCTTGTCGTATGAATATCTGAACATGCAACATTTTATTCTAGTGACATTTCGAACAAAAAGCTGAAAAAATCGAGTGTTTGTAAAAGACTACGTCTGGATCAGATTCAGAACGATGATCAATCCATCAACACTTTTTCAGCACTTAAACAACAAGTTTAATGCTTGATCGCGTTATTTTATGCATATGCTTGTTTCTGCTGCTCCTTCACTGTGTTTTGATCCAGACGTTCAATACTCTTTCAGAAGATGTGTAATAGCACCTCCTACTGTACACCAGTGAAAACACGGAATTCCGTCAATGGCGAGGAAAGAGTTAACTTAGTCACATGTGACTTATTTTCCAGAAAATACAGTATGCATGTATTGAGTCAGTTAAATGTGAAGCACTCAAACCTCGCATAGCGTCCTCTTTCTCCTGTCACCTGCTGATTTGACGATTTGATGATCCTTTAATGGACTTGTTCTAATGCATCAGACAAAAGAAATGAGAAAAATCTGAGGAATTCACAAAAAGCACAACATGCTTGTAATATTTAGCATCTTAAGTAAAAAATGTTCAAATACAAATAAATGCATTAATCAAATAGCTGAATATTTTTATGTTAACTCCTCTAAAAACATTTCACATATACCTTGTGCTTTCTGCATTTCATTGAGAAATTATCCTCGTTTAATACACAACCTACAGAAACAGGAAACACATCAATTAGTTTTGAAGGGTATAAACTGGACAGTACAAGAAAAAACACACATTAGGAAGTTCACAGCAAATCATAATAGAGAATTACGAAACTTAAACATAAAAAAAGAAACTTAAGAAAAAAAAATTCATATATTTTATATATATATATATATATATATATAAGTGCACTAACATATATAAATAAAATATTTCATATAAAAATAAAAAAATGAATACATTTATTTAATAAAGAAAGAAAGAAAAAAAATACATATATACATACACATAAAATAAACAGGAGCAGATAAATATTCTCAAATCTCAGTGCTGTTCTGAATGCAACTGCTAAAATACCAACTGTTGACTCCACTTTTCTGCTAGAAATTATATGCATATATTTTATATTTTAGTTTACATCAAATCTTTCATGCACGGGCAGATTCGCACATTTATTGCCCGTGTCGTGTTTCACACTGTTTCCATGTGTGTCTGAACACAAGTTTGAACACATCTGCTTAGCAAACGCAGACACTAAAGCAGCTGTTACCAGGCAGATCGGCATCAAAACGCCTGTTTCGGACCACAATGCAGTGTGTGTGTATCGTGCAACAGAATGCAGACGACTCACCGGACTGCAGCGCACATGTGTAGTGGTATTTGTTCGGACAGCCTTTGAAAACGCAACCCAGCGTGGCTCCCCTTCTTTGACACGTCGAACAGACCTGGATAAAGAAACGGGTGGGTGTCATTACTGCAGGCTGCGGAGCGCTAAACGATCTGGGTATCTGAAATCTTACCGACGCTTTGGCCAACCTGACCGCGTTTTCCAGACCGTACAGTTTTCCCCGCACCAGAAAGACGCCTGCGGACCATATCGCGCAGTCCTCGTGGAGCCAGTGCTCGTTTGCATCAAGAGGAACCACGGGAGGACTGAACCAATCGGTGTCGCCGTCTGTCCTGGGTCTCTTAGACAAAGGACTATTGGACAACTCACTATCGCTGGTCCAAAAAGACTTAGTCCAGCTGCCTGAAGCAACACATTTCTCTCCAAAAGACGAGTCTGAGTCACTATTATCCTCTTCCTGTGGATTAGGAGCCGCTTTAGAGGCCGATTTGAAACCTTCAGGGTAATACGGCCCATGTAAGTCTCCGAGGTCCATTGCATTGGCCGAGCCTCCACAGAGACAGCAGACCAGGACATCCCGCTGCATGCCGTCCTCACAGATCCGTCCGTACTGCAATCCTGGTGTCGCGGGCTTCACGCCGGACGCAAACCCGGCACACACCCGCCGCTTTCCCTGCTTGCTCCGGACGCTGTCCTCGGGGTAGCTGATGACCGTACAGATCGGGAAGGCTTTGATCTGGACGCGCACGCAAGGCGTGAAGGTCTCGTCCCGCACAATATTCTTCTCCTCCTTGTATTTCAGACATTTGAGTTTGATTTCGGGTTCCTGTGGCGAGAAAAATGACGCATGGCCGACTTTGTGTTTGTTTTTTCTCCGTTTGGCCGATTTCTTCACAGATGTTGTCGTAATTGGTTTTTGACGGTTAACTTGTGCCGAATGAAGGTTTCTTATCCTTCCGGATGACTTTTTCTTTGTGCGTTTTACAAATGCCTTCGCAGAAGATGAGGTAGATAGCATGGCTTTGCGTCTGCTCGATCGTCTGACGTCGGTTTCTTCTTTCTTCTTCTTTTCATCCGCTACACTGCGTCTCCTTTCCAGAACATTTTTCTTGGACTTGCTCGTTTGGAGTTTTCTTTTACAAACACGACTCGATTTGCACCTGACGGGATGGATGTCTTGAACGATGGCTCCCATTCTTATGCCTCTTCTAGCTCTCGGAGGCAGTATTTTCCTCTCAAGCTTGTTGGTGGTGACTGAACTGTCGCTAAGCGACAAATCATTGGTTGTTTTGAATGCATCCGTGTCGGTTTGTTCTGCAGATGCATCGCTGACGTGCATGGACTCTGTGTTGCACGTTTTGTCAGTTTTCCCTGTTTCTGGAGATTCTGTCTCCGCTATCATAGAATCAAACTGCTCTTCTTGCTTTGCATCCCCCACTTCTTTACTCGGAGAACTCGCGGTTCGCGGCAAAGCGAAAACATCCTCTATTTGCTCCGCCGACGGAGACTCTGGATCCAACGGACTGATGAAGTCTTGGTTTAACGAAATGGCAAAGCTCGCCGCTCCCGGCTCGTTCGGTAAAACCACCGGCTCCTCAGATCTAGAGATGAGGAAGACGAGCTCTGGATTCACATTCCGGTGCAAACCGTCAGCGTTCGTGCCATCGTTGTCCGGAAATCCTCCCACGAAGGGTCCGACGTTCCACAGGCCATTCGCAGCTCCAATTTGGAGCTCGTCCATGCTGATGGGGAACCTGCACTCGCTGGGATCGACTTGTAAAGATTTGAGAGTTTCCAAAGCAAGGCTTTCCACATCTTGCACATCCGGAGGTTGCTGAAGGTAGCAGAACGCCGCCATGTTCTCCACGACCTGAGCCGGCGTCATGAAGCCGAACTGATCACAGGCCGTCAGTCCAACCGGCACAGACACCGGCTGGAGACAGTGTTGGTCCACCGAAAGCGCCGCATCTCCTGCATCCCTCGTCAGCTTTCCGGCATCATATGCAGCGGGATGCAGCACAAACGCCTTGCTCAAGGAAGGAACGTCGTAAATCGGAGAATGTTCTGAGAAGACGTGCGACCGGCTCACGTAGGAGAGCGTGACGGTCGTGTTGGAAAACGCATTATCCGGTTGGATCTGGTCTGTGGGGAGCGGCAGCGGATCAGAGTCGGTTTCTGGAAGCAACATCCCATTGCTGGTCCCGGGATTGACGAACCAGCCCGGCGTCTGGACGACACGCAAGGCGTCGATGGGGTTGGCTTTCAGAAGGCATTCCTCAGCGTTGCGCGTCAGATCGAAGATGTTGGGGAGGCTGCAGGCGGACGACAGATCCTGAGGCTGTAAACCAGCTGAGTCGCTGGGAGGCTCTTCCATATCAACTGAGAGCAGAAACACGAGGGTCAATTTTGTTTTTATAGTATCATTAAATGCAATGCAACTTCACTGATGTGCTTTGACAATAAAAATTAAATAAATATAGCTGCTAGCAGCGATACGGGGCCAAGCACCAAAGGTGCAGCAAGCATAGCAACCACTGCAAGTGTAAGCACTGCAAGCACAGCAATCTCATCAGAGCACATCACACTGAAGAGTCAAAAGCTCTACACTGTGCATCTCAAAGGCACAAAACACTCTTAAGTTTTTCTATATACATGCACCGCATGTTATGTGCCACAATGGATTCGAAACCCCATTCTGGAAGGTTCGGGGTCTGTGGCTTAGCAGTGTGTGCCACTCAGTCGGTGCACATTCAACAGGCTGCTGAGGAGAGCTTTCAGTGTGAGAATGAGCACACTAAGCGTTACTTAGCATGTTGACGAGATTAGCATGCTAAGCTAACTTAATGCTAATGTAGTTTACGGTTAACTGCACATTAGAAAGAATGGCAAGTGGCTAGCATGCTAACCAATTAACACACTAAGCTAACTAGCATAAGTCAAAAACACGGACACGGTCAACTTCGGAAAGGTATTTCTCAGGAACGGTACCGAATATCAAAAATCCGTTCAGTAATTTTTTCAGTCAAAATTTGACAATTTACAGGAGTAGCAGCGGAAAAACTTTTTTTTCCATTTACGTTTAAATGTCGGACAAACAAAATGAAGGAAAATTCAAAATGAGACATTGTCAAAATTAGGGATATGCCGGTATCAAATTTTCATGTTGCGATTAATTGCTAATGCGCGTTTTTGCAAAAATCCTTATATCTCTGGAACACTAGGTGGCGCTGTGTTCAAACTTCTCAGGTGCCTCCGGGACATGCTGTCGATGATCTCTACCAATTTTTGTGCTAACTTTTCATATTGTTCATGAGATATTGCAATTTATGACTAATTACAAAATGGTGGCCCGATGGTTAGTTGGATTGGTATGCTCGGATTCAGCATGATAAAAGGAATCCATAGACACCAAGACCATGATTCTGACTAACTGTTCAAATGTAATTAGCAAAAATAGCAATTTTACAGATCTAATTACCTGTAGGTGGTGCTGTTGCCAAATTTGGCATGTACCTTTAAATCATGGTTCTGATGAAGCGCACCAATTTTCATTTCGATTGATTAAAGTTTGACTGAGATACAGCCACTGAACCAATTTCGGGTCAACCTTAAGTTCACAACATCATAACTTTGGAACAAAGATGAATTAAAAAAAAACTGTTAAGTCATTTCTGTGCGGCTCAGTCCAAAGATCATCTGAGCCAATTTTTGTAAGAATTGGGCAAAATTCGAAAGAGAAGTAGCAAAAAAACGGAAGACTGTACTTTTCATAATGGCCACTACTATAATGGGCAGAGTCTTAATGTAAGCTATTGAATGTGATCAGCATGATTAGAGTAATCAGGTGCACTAAGTTTAATTTTTCTAGAACAAAGGGTTCAAAAGTTATAACCATTTCAATGTTGAATTTTTGAACAGGTGGTGGCGCTATAGAGTTGGTCCTAGAGACTCCAAAATTGGTCAAATCACTATTCATGACCATCACTACAATTGTGCCAAATTTCATCATTTTCTCATTTTCCGTTCATAGGGCTGCCAGTGACTACCATTCGGGAAGAAGAATTAAATTTTTAAACACCGTTAAAAACAATGCTGACTGCAAGTTGACTGATGTGCTTTGACAGAAAATTAAATATTTAATAAGACGTTAAATAAAAAGTTGACAAAAATGCAAAAGCTAAAATAAAAACAGATAATAATAATAAAATGAAAAATTAAATAATAAAGATAATAAAAGCTGGTCATATGCCAAACAATAGAAAAAGGTCTTCAAATTGGATTTGAAAATGCTGAATATGATGTTAATGTTCCTGTAAATTATCACCACGACTTAATCTTAATTTTGAACCACTTTATTAATATTGATGTATTTTGACTTTTGTGGCACCTGCTCTATGAACAAAAAATAAATATAATAATAATAATAGTAATAAATTAATTAAAAGTTATGAGTATGATCTAAAAAAAAAAAAGACAAAATGGTCTTTATTGTCACACTTGTGATCTTCACGGTGACCGGCACTGGAAATTAATAAGAAATATGAAAATACAAAACCTAATTTTTGGAGGTACAATCTACAAATCAGCCACAATGAAGTCTTTGATATATAAATATATATATATTTCTTTAACTTATTATTTTATATATTTTATATAGGAAAAAATGGTGCCAATTTGGAAAAGAACACCGTGTAGCTCTATGAAATACCCTCTAAAAGCAAAATATTAAAGGATTAACACTACTGAAACAAATTATATAGGCCTAGTACATTTCATTATTAAAAATATTGTGCTTTTTTTCGATCTGTTTACTGAATACCAGTATTTACCAGGGTAATGAACAATTACTAAATTCATACAGCATAGTATTTTAATATAAACCAGTTAATATGTAACTTACCACGGTATTCTACACAGTACTGCAAAGGATACCACGGTATTTGCTGAACTTCAGCTTTGTGTCTGGATACTTTATAAATCACGTCTGTATTCCTGTATTTGGTGTCAAACTCATGATGAGGCCTTCATTAATGCCAAAAACAAGCTGTTTTATTGTCTGCATTCATATTTCAGCGCTTTAATTGGATTTATTAGCGCATGAACCCGGAATTGTAATATTTTATCGTCAGGATCGGCTAAATCTGTCTTTTGCGCTTCAGAATATATCTGATTATGATCAGGATAACATCAGGAGTGTCAAACATCTGCAGAGCAGGTTTAATCCGGGCTTCGCTTTACCTGAGCTGCGTTTGTTATGCTAGCGTTAGCATAGCGGCTTGTTAGTACGCTGGCTAATGCACATCCCGACGACAATAAACAACGCACACCGACGCGTCCAGCAAATGAATGTCGTTATGAACCCAACTACGCAGCGCAATTAATGAGAGATTAATGAAGCGCCGCGGGCTCCCGTTAGCAGCCGAGCTAAACAAAGAAAGAGCGCGGACTCACCGGAGCGACGCGACGCGACGCGACGCGTTCATTCACGAAACCATCGCAGACTCCGTGCCGCCGGAACGGAACGCGCTCCAGGTGCCGCCGCGCGTGTCTGAGAAGACAGCGCGGTTCGGACTGAACTCTGCTTCTCTGCTGTCGCCGCGCTGCATTCTGGGACTCGTAGTCCGTCCACTGAACTGTGTCGTTATTACGCGGAACAGAATGTTCATTTCAAGCAAAGCGTTGTGATGCATCTCTGTGCGTTCTCCGCTCAGGGCTCACACAGCTGCAAGTGTCCATTTCTAAGACTTGCTAAAAAATTGCAAGCATTTTCAAGGTCTGGAAAGCACAATTTTAAAGTCTTTTTTTTCTGCTACCTGGTTTGGAAAATCAGTGCAAATATTTTTATTTTATTTTATTTCATTGAAAATATAAATGCTTATCATTATAAATTATTTAATAATTTATTTTAAATGTCAAAAAAAAAAAAAGTGCAATTAATTCGATTAATAAATCAGCACATCATGTAATAAATTAGCCTTATTTTTAATAACTTAATTTATAAATACATGACTTGTAATGATATAAAAAAATGACACTAAATACAGGGTTTCTGCAGGTTTTATGAAATTAAATGTAACACCTTTTCAAGACCAAGTAAGGAATAAATGTAATGGAACACAAAATGTCAATATGTACTCTAAATGTAAATGTCTTGTATTATAAAGAACATCCAGCTTCCAAAAGATTTCCATTACTTTTAAATAATTTTACAATAAATAAAAAAAAAAATAATAAACTTCTTCCAACCACTAGAATATTGAAACAGCATTTACTGTCTAATCGCAATGCAACAGTGAACATCTACATTTTCGTCTAAAGATTCTTAAATCAAGATATATTTACTGGAGAAGCAGATGATGAAAGAAGTTTTGTTTATGAGAAATGTGAAGTGAGTTTATGATTAAAACGAACAAATATATGCCAATGGGCTCAGAAAAAAAAAAAAAAAAAAAAAAAAAATTTAATTTGCAAAACTTAATTCAAACGGAAAAAAAGTAAATGTATTCCCTTTGACGGATATTTGCTCAAACTCACTTTATTTAGTTGAATTTCTCAGAAAGCAAGACTTCCTTCGTTTTGCATCTCCAGCAAACGCATTGATTTTTGAAAACTTTGAAATTTAAAAAAAAAATAAAAAATACTGAAGATACAAATTTTTAGCAATGCATGCAACATTTAATGCCACGACTCTGATTTAAGAAAGCCTGCGATATAAATAAATAAATAAATGACAGACCAATCCGTGCAAAAGAGGGTGCAAAAATATTTATTGCTAATAAACCTGTTGTCAGTTCGTGTACATTTGCGGTATATTTACAATAATGTATAGACGAATGGAAATGTGAGACAAAAAATTCATAACATTTAAATAAATACAAAGGACTGCCACTGAACGACACCACAGACTTCATCAGCTCGAAAAAAAACAAAACTCCCATTAATTATAACGGCAAGCTTATATAAACTTGTTAATATTCTGTCGACCCTCCCAGGTCTGTTCCCGTGTGTTTTACGGTCATCAGAAATGCTCCTTTGTTTCGAGCATCCGGAGACGCCGCAGAAGGTCAGCGGGTGATGATGCAAGCCTCGACTAAATGCAGCTATTTTAACAATAAAGAGCCGGAGGGAATGTGCAAACCCAGCTCATCTAGCGTCACACGCGAGCAGTCTGTAGTGTCGAGAAACACTCACACAAACTAAAGAGTTAAAACAGTAGCTTACACAGTCGTGTTTAGTGTACGCATGATAGATGCTTCATTAAAAACGAAGTATTTACATTAAGACAATGCAAATGCAAACAAACCAATAACGTCACAGTAACTGAAGTGCATGACTATAGACATAAAACTCAAACTTCATACCATGTTTAATATACGCTGTGACCAGTGTGTCTCTAAGTGATTAATTACTGGGCTAAAATACTCTTAATTAGCATGCAGCGAGGCCGTGTCAGAAGTCCTTCGTGTCCTTGTTGTCGAGCAGGTGAAGTCTCTGCTCCGCCGTCAGACCTTCCTTCAGACTCTGGAGACGCAAACAGAGAGACATTAGAAAGGATCTCCGAGAGCATGTACATCAAACAGGGCTTATGAAGGTCAATGTCAAACTTTAAGAAGCAAAGAAAACATAAGGAACAAGCTGAAGGGAACACAACACACTGATATGATCCGTAAGTGTAAGTGTCTAGGGACATGCATGTAATTTATTGCATGCAATGCACTGTAAGTTAGTTTGAAAATACAGCTTTTAGCGCATCTCCATTACTTTTTAATTCATTTTACCAAAAAAAAAAAAAAAGATGTCCTGTTTTCCAGAGCAAATATCTAAACTTTCTTAAATCAAGACAGATTTACTGGAGATGCAAAATGACATTATGTGTTGTTTTCTGTGAAACTGATCAAAATGAAGCAAGCTCGATTAAAACATGCATCTGTCAATGGGGTCAAAAAAATAATAATGCCAAGTTTTCATACCGCATTGACGGCTATTTGTTCTTGTTTTAAGCATAAACTCAATTTGGATCAATTTCACAGGCTTCACAAGTTTCTTTTGCATCTCCAGTAAATGTATCTTGATTTAAGAATGTTTAGATTTTTGTATTGAAAAACAGGACAACAATACTGAGGAAGAGATTCATTTTTTTTTTGCAGTGCATGCAATATTTAATGCCATGAGTTTAAGACTTCCAGCTCTGATTTAAGACCTTAAATAAGAAACCCCAACAAAAAATCCCGGCCTTTTCATCGCATTTAAACCAGTGAACGCAACAACAAGTGTTCAAAAGTTCCAGGTGTGCCACCAACAAACACAAACCCGCAGACACGTGCATCTGTGTGAAATATGAATGTAGAAATGCCCTCGAGTCCGTGAGACGCTCGTCTGATGAACATTCAGCTGAGGATCACATGCACAGCCGCAGAAAGTAATGCAGGCACTAGAGCTGGGCGATATGACCAAAACATTACGATATTTTATTGCATATCAAACAATATTGATATTGATTAGCATTAATGGGGAAATAAATGCTTCCACGTGTGTTAGACCTTCAGAGAGAATTAAAAATAGTTTGTTCACAATTTAACTAAGATTGCTTTCATTTAGAGCCCCATGAAACCAGTTTAATTTGTCCATTTAATTTTTTTCTGGATTCTGTGTTGTATGATTTTATACACATTTATCACCAAAAATGGTGTGTAATGATATTAATTAATAAAACTAACAATTTAATAAATTTTTTAAATGCTAAACAAATGAAAATATAACTAATTTACAAAAAAAACATTGCATTTTTATTTTTTTGTCAAATGAGACGCTGCACAACAGAACAGTATGAATTACATCAAGTAAATATCATGATTGTATAATGTTCGTTAATTAATAACAGCTTTGAGAAGTTCATTTTAGTGAATCAACTGAACCAAACCTTTTAGAAGCATTGAATCAACTGAACCAATTGCTTCGCAAAACGATTCACTATTTCGAAGCGCACACAACTCCTCACGCTGCTCAGAACTGTGTAAGCTTCGACAAACCCACAGCAAAAGTTTTATTTAAAGTATATTAACCTAATATCTAATACCATTAAATATGTGTCTGTATAATATGTTCTTTTATTTGTTTGCTCTATGGATGGCTCAGCTAACTAGCATTCCTCCTTTGGAGCACAAAAGCAGTGTTAAGTCGCTGGGGTATATTTGTAGCAATAGCCAACAATACATTGTATGGGTCAAAATTATACATTTTTCTTTTATGCCAAAAATCATTAGGATATTAAGTAAAGATCATGTTCCATGAAGATATTTTGTAAATTTCCTACCGTAAATATATCAAAACCGAATTTTTGATTAGTAATATGCATTGCTAAGAACTTAATTTGAACAACTTTAAAGATGATTTTCTCAATATTTAGATTTTTTTGCACCCTCAGATTCCAGATTTTCAAATAGTTGTATCTCGGCCAAATATTGTCCTATCCTAACAAACCATACATCAATGGAAAGCTTATTTATTCAGCTTTCAGCCGATGCATAAATCTCAATTTCAAAAAAATTACCCTTATGACTGGATTTGTGGTCCACTGTCCCAAATGTCTCAATGACATTAAAACAAATGTCTACAAATTTATAAAACTGATCCAAGATCAGGCAAAAACCATAGACACGCTGAAGCCTCATTTCCTGAAATCACGTGACTCTGGCGGTTTGATACACACTCCGAATCACTGGTGCGAAACAAACGATTCGCAAAGGTTTCGCAGCTTCATGAAGCAGAGTTTAAAAGCGCCCATCACTGTAGTTTTCCTCAAAGTAAACGCTGTAAAGCTGCAGAGCAGCTCTGGAGATGAAGTTCATGCAGGTTATTAGAGACATGCACTGATCCAGATCCAGAAAAAACATAGAGAGCTTTTTATCGTTTTATCATGACCTCAATAAGATAGGGTTTATCGCCCAGCCCTAGCATGAACCCGTCTGAATGATGCACTCGCTCCCTTCCAAGGGCTTTTACCTAAACTGAGAACTCAAAGGTCTTGGGGTTTAGTCTTTGGCATGTCACAACTCTGGAGGGGTCCCCGACTAAGGATTTTCATAGTCGAATCGGAATTTTCGAATCTTGCCGATAGTCGACTGATAGTCGAATCATATGTTTTGGGGGCGGGGCAAAATACATTATCAAGAGTCAAGTCAGACATTCAGTCATAATTACTGAAGTTAACACTCAGGGAAAATGTGTAACGGACGCCTCGCAGATACAGACGGGGTAAATAATGTTATGTTTCGATTAAAAGATAGTTAAACGTCAGCGAAACCCTAAAAATTCACAAAATTTTTTACAGCAGTGCTCTCTTTATAACGTTATGTATATGACAGTAGTTATTAATGTTCTGCATTTCTGTTTTGAGCTGCGCATGCTGAAGATGACCAGTAGAGTGAAGCAGCTGGGATTTAACTAATCATTTATCTCATATAGAATTCGCTTTGTTATTTATACAACATAACGTTAATATTACGACTTATAGGCTACCTGCACAAAATGCTCCGAATGCACATGAACGTGTCTGTGGCTCTGAATGAACTCCTTTTGCGGACGCGTTCTTCACGCAACAACGTGCAGAAACACGGCAACTAAACTCTAAAAATTCACAGCGTTTTATTTAATATTTATTTAAAGCTTCTTTCTTTTCAGATTCTTATTTACAACATTATCGTAATAGGCTGTATATTAACTTATTGGGAGAAAACCGGTAGTTCTGTGTGAAATCAGACATTTGAGCACCCCCAACTGAAGAGATAATCACCGTAGTACTACAATGAAGCGCTCGACTCAACCAATGCATCATATACGAGATAAATAATATATACACGATATATATAAACCGGCTGACATGTTTTGAAATCACTTGTACCCCACCTGATCGAACAAATCCAGTCTTTCACTCTGTCTGTGTCAGTTTGAGTCTTGTTAACGTTTTAAATCCCTGCCGCCCAGATCATGGAAAGTGAAACTTAAATCTATAGGGGTGGTTGGATTTATTCACGCACATTTTAATATTTATTTAAAGCTTCTTTCTTTTCAGATTCTTATTTACAACATTATCGTAATAGGCTGTATATTAACTTATTGGGAGAAAACCGGTAGTTCTGTGTGAAATCAGACATTTGAGCACCCCCAGATAGCCAAAATGGCACGATCATAACACCTCTGCGAATATTTGACTGTGAGATTGGCATCGAATCAGGCTCCTCCTATCGAAGCATCGAATCTTCCGACTATTCGGGGTCACCCCTACACGACTCACAGACTGGGGAAAACGGAGGAAGCACACACACACACACACACACACACACACACACACATTTTCTTACCGCTACCTACCAGGCTTTCTCCTGTGCAAGAAAACACAGCACACACACAGAGTTCAGCTCCTGACTGTTCACAAGCACAGTCCGCTGTATTTGTGGTTAAAGGCAATAACGTGTTGGCCTGAGGGTGGCAGTGTGGGCTTAACTAACTCTTATTCAACATCAGAAGGCTGAACTGGAAACCTACCTTTGACCTCATGGTGCGTTCGGAGCGTTTGGCCGCGCCGTCCTGATCGAACAAATCCAGTCTTTCACTCTGTCTGTGTCAGTTTGAGTCTTGTTAACGTTTTAAATCCCTGCCGCCCAGATCATGGAAAGTGAAACTTAAATCTATAGGGGTGGTTGGATTTATTCACGCACATTTTAATATTTATTTAAAGCTTCTTTCTTTTCAGATTCTTATTTACAACATTATCGTAATAGGCTGTATATTAACTTATTGGGAGAAAACCGGTAGTTCTGTGTGAAATCAGACATTTGAGCACCCCCAGATAGCCAAAATGGCACGATCATAACACCTCTGCGAATATTTGACTGTGAGATTGGCATCGAATCAGGCTCCTCCTATCGAAGCATCGAATCTTCCGACTATTCGGGGTCACCCCTACACGACTCACAGACTGGGGAAAACGGAGGAAGCACACACACACACACACACACACACACACACACACATTTTCTTACCGCTACCTACCAGGCTTTCTCCTGTGCAAGAAAACACAGCACACACACAGAGTTCAGCTCCTGACTGTTCACAAGCACAGTCCGCTGTATTTGTGGTTAAAGGCAATAACGTGTTGGCCTGAGGGTGGCAGTGTGGGCTTAACTAACTCTTATTCAACATCAGAAGGCTGAACTGGAAACCTACCTTTGACCTCATGGTGCGTTCGGAGCGTTTGGCCGCGGCGGCCGCCATCTTTAAAATGTCAGGGTTGCTCTTTGACTTCATGATATCTGAAAGACACGACAGCCAGCCGGTTCATAACGTGCAGGTGAATGCATCTGAGCGTGGGTTGATCTCGAGGCGAGGCTCGTACCGTATCCACCGCGCTCCACGTCCTCCAGCGCGGGTTGCCCCAGTGCATCATGGGCCTGCTGCAGCTGCTCGCGCAGGCGGCTCAGATCGCGCTCCGCTTTGGCCCGTACGATGCTCAGCTCCGTGTAGATGTCCTTGTATTTATCCGTTGCATATTTTTTATCCTATAAAGAGACACGGCACATTAATCATCGCACATTCTTACAACGGGGTCCTTTAAAAAGCGTTAAAATTCAGTTTGATCAAAATTATAGTCATTTTAGGAGGTCATATATTTGGGTACAAAAATCGTTTGTTGTATTTAAATTGCCATGTCAGCTTCACAGGCTATTATATGGCAGATACAACATTCAATAAACAATACAATAAATACACACATTTCATAAAATTCAATTTAGAACAAAAAGACTAAACTTTGTATATACTCTATAAAAAAATATTGATTAAAATTGTAGTTTTTCTGCATCCAAAATAATTCAGGAATGGGAATACCCTACTAATGTGATGATTAAACTTATTAAACAAAATACAATGATTTAATTAAATAAATACGAGTGCTGCAAGTTCAGTTCGAATTCAATCAACGAATATTACACATTTATGTCAAGCAGCTGATTTTGATCGTTCAGACAATGAATTACGCCAGTGTTTATCTTACGGTATTTATACTGTAGCAATGAAGTAGTAATACTGGCATTTCAAAATAAGAGTCCCAGTGTATTCGGGCATGTTTATAATTAAAAGTCCCGCATAATGCATATATTATTATTGGTATTTTAGTTACACAAACTGTATTTGGAATTTAATTCAACTCGCACGCTCTCTGGGCTGCTCGTCACGAGAAGGAAAGACTAAGAGCATTAACGCTTTCAATGTATATACATTTTTCTAGTAGCAGCACAATTATGTTTTTTGCTTTATCACATCTGCAAAATCAAATATAAACATATGTATTGATGCAATATTAGTGCATAAACCAAATGCAATGCATATGCATTTGCTAAATAAAACATCTTTTTAAACTTGTGTGTCGCAGCCCGTTTAATTAAGAAAAAAGGTATTGGAAAAGGTCTCAAAATCTTGATTTTAAAACTCCTCACAATGAAGGTGCAGCACTTACTCTGTGGGCAGTCTGAAGCTCATCTTTTAAAGAGTTAATCTCCTGCTTCAGATACTGCACTTCTGACTCCTTCACCCTCCGCATCACCTGTGAAGACAAGCGTGATCAGCTTCTCATTCGCAGCATGCTGTGGAGAACGAGCGAGGCATGAAGGGAAGCAGCAGACCTCCAGCTCGTACAGCTCCTTCCCCTGCATGCCCCCGCCAGCGTCCCCGCCGTCCTCGCTCGCCATCGAGCGCATCTTCGTGATCTCAGCCGCCAGACGGTTGTTCAGCTCCTGCACGACAGACAAACAGACCAAATCAAGCCTTCTGTGCGTCTGAAGTCGATTCAGTTGCGCTAAGGTCATGCTGACCATTTAGTTTCGATTTCATCCTTATTAAAACTACTAAAGAGCTTGTCTTTTGTTGTTTGATTAACATTAATCAGGTTTATTAGGCTTCTGTGTCTTTAAGACCTAATGCACGCATCCAATATACTGACACACTTCTGATATTCTCACAGCTGCTTACATTCACTTAATACTTAACCCACTGTGTTCATGTGAATACTCGCCAAAACAGTCATCATTTTGTGCGAATTTGTCCGTTCAAGTGCGAAAGAGAACTCAATTCAGTTCTCATTCCAAATCGTCTCCAAATTTTTATTCATTCACAAAGAAAGCAGAAAATATGATGACCTTTTCATCTTTCAAAACTGTTTATTTAGTTATTGTCTTGTTTTTCTCAGTGAATAGGGCCCTATGAAATCAGTTTTAATTTTTCTAGACTATTTTTCCTCTATTTTAATTTTTATAACTTTGTTTTAATGGTTAAATTACATTTGATTGGTTAAAAAGCATGTCTAATTAATTGAAACCATGAAATTTACACAAGTTAATGACAATTTATTAAAAGTTTAACAAAAATCACATTTTCTTCTCAAATTCTGCCATATTTTTTAAACAAATTTAATAATCAAAATATATATATTTTTTTTTTAAATTCTATGTTATGCATTTTTTTCTGGTAATCAAATGATAGCATGAAACAATAATTATCAATAATTTATCTTTTAATCAAATGAAAATTAAACCTCTCCCATTTTTTTTTCTGCAAACAAAGTGCTGCACAACAGGTTAATTGTTAAACAAGCTTTTGAATGCTATAGTGTATAATGTTACAAAACCTTTTTAACCTTTTCAGATAAATGCTGATCTTTGGATCTTTATATTCATCAAAGAATCCTGAAAAAAATTTACTCAACTGTTTCAAATAATAATAATAATAATCTTGTTTCTTGAGCAGCAAATCAGCATATTAGAATGATTTCTGAAGATCATGTGACACTGAAGACTGGAGTAATGATGCTGAAAATACAGCTGCGCATCACAGAAATAAATTACACTTTAACAGATATTCACACAGAAAACAGCCGTTTAAATAGTAAAAATATTTCACAATTTTACTGTTTTTCTGTATTTCTGATCAAATAAATGCAGGCTTGATGAGCAGAAGAGAATTCTGTAAAAAACATAAAAAATCTTACTGTTCCAAAACTTTCGACTGGTAGTGCACATTCTACTATACAATATATTTCTGTCACAATTTCAAGTTAACCCAACTTTTATTTTGCCGTGAAGAGTTTTGTGTGTGTGTGTATGATGTGCCGGTAGTTTTTCTCAAATGAAACAGTCAAATGTGTTCATGTATCTACGTCCTCATTTAGTGAGACGGCAGACGACATCGCATTCATTCACTCACACAGCAACACGCAGAACACGCAGGATTTCAATTTAAATAGTCTTTTTGCAGTTGAATATTTACAGACACCAGTCCATATCGCCATCTGACTGAAGTGCACTGACCTACTTTGGATTTATTCATTCAAAATTTGGCATCATAGGGCCCTAAGTGAAGAAATATTGTGGACGAATTATAATATTGGTCACTGAGGTTAGCAGCGGTCACCTGGTTGTGTGCATTGAGCTCCTGGTTCTCCCGCTGGCACTGTCGGAGCGCCTGTCTCTCGGCCTCCAGCGCTTGGGCCAGATGAGCGTTTTCTAAGCACTTCTGCGAGTACTGCTCCGACAACACCTCGATCTCCCTCTGGTACGACATCAGCTCTTCCCTGCAACACAAATGCACATGCGTTTTTCCTTTCAGTTTAGAGTGATGATAAAAGAGCAAGGCCTTTATGTCTAGACAGAAGTACAGCCAAGAGCTTGAGGGCAGATTACGAGCATGTGCACAAAGAAAGAAACTGTGCAATCACTCCAAATTTGGCATCTTGGCTGCGTTTTATCCACTCCAATTAAAGCAGTATTATTTGCAAGTCTTATTTGCATATCGCAGCTTTAACAGTGATGTTACAAGAAATGTGCCACAAAAGCGAGATGGGAGGTGTGGCCGTGTAAACTTGTTTCAAGCAATTAAATCTGAAGAGACAGCTGTTTACTTCCCGAAAGAATGCAAAGGTGCGGCTGCGCTGCATTTTACTGCATTACGAGGCTGAAATGGCGTTAAAGGAGTAGCAACTGACTCGTGCTGTTTGTGGATTTCCTCGATGTCTGCGTTTTCTGTGTTGCTGTTGGCCTTGCGCGTTTTCTCCAGCTCCCGCTCAAGCTCCGACCGATGTGCATTCTTCATTGCTTCGATAGCTAATCAAAGAAAAACATTAAAAACACTGTTTATTAGTAATGGGTCTTAAAAACAGGGAAAAAAAGGTTATTCTACGTTTGTGTCTATATGCATTTATAATTATGACATTTTCATTGAGATTATGCTGTATTATTAACATTATCAACTTTGCTTCTTTCAATCAGCACAGGTTTTGTGTTTCTTTCTGGAACTGGTTGTCCTCAGTTTTTGAGTGAATATTGCCGAAATTATCCACAAATAATGCTTTATTCACTCACAAACATCAGCTCAGATCAATGAGGCAATCAATCAGCTCCAAAAAGAAATACAAAACCTGTGTTAATTGAAATAAACAAGTTGATAAAAATATTGATGATAGCATAATGAGAGATTTACAAGCAATTTTTAAAAGGCAGGTCATTTTTGACTGGTGATTATTATTATTTTTTTTTCAAAACATGACTCTTATTTTGGATTTTAATGTTTATATCGCTAAATTCACTGGAAACCGAACACTTGTTTATCAATGCTTGTTATAACATGGTTGTAATTCCTGAACGCTTTGGAATACAGACCTAAGGTTGGTCTATTTTTAAAGAAAACACACAGCAGATTATTGCTGAAGTGAATGCATTTAAAAAAAAGAAAGTATAAAAAGTTATAGAAGTTTAAGTTTACAGTAAAGATAATGCAATATACTTACAAAACCTGTGTTAATTGAAATAAACAAGCTGATAAAAATATTGATGATAGCATAATGAGAGATTTACAAGCTATTTTTAAAAGGCAGGTCATTTTTGACTGGTGATTTTTTTGTTTTTTCCCAAAACTTGACTCTTATTTTGGATTTTAATGTTTATATCGCTAAATTCACTGGAAACCGAACACTTGTTTATCAATGCTTGTTATAACATGGTTGTAATTCCTGAACGCTTTGGAATACAGACCTAAGGTTGGTCTATTTTTAAAGAAAACACACAGCAGATTATTGCTGAAGTGAATGCATTTAAAAAAAAGAAAGTATAAAAAGTTATAGAAGTTTAAGTTTACAGTAAAGATAATGCAATATACTATTTTTTTTTTATTGTATATAAAATAAATATGTAATAAAATATGTTGCAATCTAAAATTGCTATAAAATCAAAGCCATATGTCTAACAAAGTTATGTTCCAAATTTGAAGTTGATATCACAAAAATTGTGAGATTTTGTTTGGCCACTATACCGAAAATAACCACTGGGTGACACCCAAACTCTATTGTTTTTTTATTGACAATTTCTGTCACAACATCACTTCTATTACCAAACAGTTACCAAATATGGCACCTTGACTGTCAGACCTTTCCAACGATACAGTATGTGTTTTTTGTCAAGATTACAAAAATCTATCTCTGTATATATCTGAGTCTATGTATATATTTTTATATCTTGATTTATACCCCTAAAAGGGCGACGTCTCCCCGAGATACAAACATTTAGAGACAGACTACAAAAAATTTAAGCATTTACTTCATAAAATTTCAATGCAAACCTAATAAGCCAATGCGGAGTAACAGGTAAGGTTTCGTCCTCACTAACCAGAGATGGTGGCTGCGGTCTCCTCCGCCAGCAGTCGCTCCTTCTCCTCCTGCAGTTTCTCCAGTTCCCGCTGGTGCTTTTTCTGCAGCTCATCGATCACTTTCTGGTGAGACTCTTCCATGGCGGCGAAGCCTCGTTCACACGTCGCCTGTAGAGAAATGCAGTGCATCTCGTTCAGATCGATTCAAGTCCACTTCTACTCTGACAAGGACAACACTTACACAGAACGGTGTCCACACAAAGCCAGATATTAATAACCTACGATGGCATGAAGGAGACGTAACATAACGTAATGCAAACACACACACGCTGTGATGGGACTGTGTGTTCATCCCAAAAACTTGGACACTTCAGCCAGACTCAATGCATGAATATCACTGGATTAGATACAAAACATCAAAAGAAAACAGAACGAATGCAGATATACCGTTCAAACTTGAGATTTGGACACTTGTCAAATGCTGCTGGATCATGTTGAACTGTGAGATTTCATGCACTAAAATCACATTGACACCAGTTAAAAGTCAATGCAAACATAGTTTAGCATTTGTTTGCAGACACAGCTTTCAATGGATTGAAATTCAAACATTTGTAGCTTAAATGTCCAAGTATGTTTTGGGGGCACTACATATGCTCGTCTCTATATATTGACTTTAATTTCAATTTAATTAGGCCCTGGAACTTTCAACTCCAAAAACGCAGCATCCCTACATTTGTAAGACCATTTATGAACATGGAGTTTAATTTCAGAAGCACGTACTGATGACAAATTTATTTTAACATTATATATGTGATCTGTGCTTGCAAAATCAGTCACAATGAGCAATCTTTTCACATTTTCCTGTAAAAGACCTTCAGAATGATTTGTTGAAATCGGATGAAAAATGACTGAGCTGCACCTGTTTGAAGTCGATAGAGTCAGCAAAGTCAATTTTGAGAAAAA